AATGCAGGTGTTTGAGAAGTACCACAACATGCTTGCTCTACTTTATTCTTGCACAAGAGCACACTCTTAAAAGTCAGAGTAGGAGGGTGTCTGGACCTTTGGTCTGATCAGCTACTGCTGGTCTCCATACCTCCTGATCCTCCTCTGTCATTGCTCTTCTCATCTATGCCCCGAGGGAACTGCTGGTTTTTGAAGCGCTGGTTCCCAGCCTGTTTGAGTTGATCAATAGAAGCTGCCTGCCCAGGCCCCGTGCCTCTGCGCTGTCTCCCCAGCAGCACACAGCGTGTGTGTGTCACAAGCTCTGCGGCCAGCGAGAGCAGGCTGCCAAGAGCCAGGCTGCCTCCGCTGTTGACTTCCCATTTACAGCAGGTTCTCTGCAGCTGCTGTTTATTTGTTACCTACAGTATGAATAAGGGCAGAAGGTAAAATCTCTTCAGAGAAACCTCTGATAAAGTTTCTAGTCCCTAAGGGAAAATTAAATTTTATCAAGCTTTTCAAAATACAACTGCAGATCATCATCTTCAGGGAGATGCGTTCATCTCCCTTATTTTGCAGACTGAAAATTTGTTAAAATCTGGCTGTATCCTGGCCACATCTTTTCCACCTGCCTTCCCCTATCACTGCTCCCCTGCCCTATGGACCAGCTCAGTGTTCAGACCATAGCTGGAGTTAGAGATCTCCAAGGTCACAATGCTTGAGTTTCCGTTCAAGCTACACTGCTGCAGTGTGTCAAAGCTGGGCTGAAGGGAGACCAGAAACAAAGCATGAGAAGTAAAGACAACAAGTGTTTGAGATTTTCCTACACTACATTTCTACGTGAGGAATGTGCGAATACTGGGAGGGAATACACAGAACTGCGGGTGGGCAGTGGTTGCGGAGGCAGCGTGACACAGGTGGGACACCTGGCTGGGTGGCTGGCAGGGAAGGAAGGTGTACCTCCAAGAAGGCCATGGAGGTGAAGGAAGCATGTCTGGCAAGGGCAGAGGGTGCAGCCTGCGAAGCTGCTGTTCTCTCACTGAGTACACTGGTACACATTGTAACTGGGTTATTCTACTCCATGTTTGGAAGAGTAATAAACTAGTAATGATGTAATGAAATAACTTTTTTTTATCCAATTCAAGGTAGCAGTTGTATCTTACAGGTGTAGAGACTGTTGGTGCCATCTTAAGCCTGATACCTAAGCTCTGCATTAGTCTGCCTCATGTTGTCCTTTGGCTTTGGTATGTGGGAGAGCTGGTTTGGGGAAAAGCAGGTGACAGGGAAGTCATGTGTGCTGTAATTATGTGGTGTCTGAAAATGTTTCTGTCCTTTGCAGTCATAGGTCAAGATAAAAGCCCTAAAGCTACAGGGTAAAGTTTCAGGGAAAATGAAGTTCACTGGAAAAATGGAAGTAGAAGTACCTGCAGGGAAGTTAGGAGTTAAACTCAGTCTTATCTCTCTGGGTAATCTTGAAAAGGATGTCAGCACGATGTTGCAGTGTATAGCTAAAAAAGTTAATGTAGAAACCCTTATCTCAAATGTAGTGTCTGCTACTTGCTTTGTAGAACCTGGAAACAACCTTAAAAAGTAAAAGCCTTTGAGCAGAGGAGGGAAGCTGCTTCCCAGGAGGAAGATTTCCACCTTGCCTGGGAACTGGAAAGAGAAAAAAGAAATAACCTTGAGCACTCCCAGGCTGTGTCACAGCACAGGGCAGAGTAAGAAGTTTGCAGCTTTAGCATCTTGCGTTTTTTAAAGTGCTGCTTGCTGAGATTTGTTAAAGATGGAAATTCTCAAGTTGCTGCCATCTTTCCTGTATTTGAATTGCTAATGTGATTGAAGAAGTAGCGAGGTGAGTACCCTTCAGACTGGGCTGGTGCCCAGTGGTGACATGAAAACCCTCTTCTTGACAAACTATCTCATTTCCCCAAATGGCAGTTTCCAGAGTGTGCAAAGTCAAAGTAAGTGGGAGAGCAAGGCTTCATCTTTAGTTCAAGGAAACTCCTTTCCTTCCCTACTGGAGAGCTAAGACCCAAGCTCAGGTTCAGAGAACAAGAACGCAGGGTGTTGCACTACGAAGCACATTGAAGTGCTTGAACAACAGCTCTGAGGAGAGGTGGGTGGTTCTGTTTCCAGGACTTTGTCCAGTATTCTACCTCGGGGAAGCAGTGTGACCTTAGCAGTCAGTCTGAATGCAGTTCCAGAACAGACACTGTGTTGCTGATTTATTTTAATACCATCAGCTCTTTTGGTGATTTCTTTGCTTTTCTCACTGTCGGCTCAGTTTGGGTTTGTATCTATCAGCTCCTGTTTGATAGTCGACCTTTTGCTGCTGCTTATAAAACCCTCCGTAGTTCAGTGGAGGTGCAGTTTGATGAGACGTGAGTCAGTTTAACTGGCCTCGGGCTCAGAGCAGGGTTATTTCTTCTGCCACCCCATGCACTCCTCTTGGGCTCTGAGCCATTGCCAGCATTTGCCAGACCTCTCTGTGAGCTTCTTAACTCATTGACTTGGCAGAAATCTAATAAAGTAAGATTTTTTTAAAAAATAAAAATAAAAGGCAGCTGGATAGTTTCCTGCCAGGTCAGTGAGTTAAAGCTGCTTATGGAAGAGACCAACAACTGCTGGAGCTGGCAGAGAGACCTGCTTTTGATGGCAGTCAGCCACCTGGTTATCTCAGATG